CGTCACAGCGAATCCAACTCATGTAGAAATAGCACAAATACAGATGTAGTCAGTATGAGGTACCATTATATGACAAGCAGAACTGTATTAGCAAGACAACAGAAGTTTTGCAAGGCAGTAACCGGAATAGAAATGATACATTTTTCAGATTTAACAGTACTTTATATGTCTGTTCGGGACCGGGGTACTACTAAGAAGAAGGAACTGATAGGTCAATGGCAGCACCTTATAGAGTGGTTATGAATGCCGAGAGAATCCCTACAATTCCATGGTCCTCACGGATAGCAAGGTTCATACTGCTCTCTCATTGGCCTACACTACACTATTGGACTACATAGAGACGATCCCGTTTCACAACGAAGGCCACCCAGTGGTTAATTTAATTTGTAGACTTTGTCGGCATACAAAGCTGTGGTCATTTTGTCACTCATTCTGTCACCCACTCAACACAAAAAGAAATTTAAGACCAGTCCTTGTTTTCGCTAAAGTCTTTGACTTAACACCCAATTTAAGCGCCTTTCATTGAAAATTATTGTCAGTCCCTTTTTTGCGTTGTCTCATCTCTAGGAAAAAAAATAATCACCCTAATGAGTGGACCTCTGATAGTGCTATCCAGAAGAGTAGTTATACGTTTCTTTAATGAAGCTGAACCAGTTGTAAGCCGTTCCCTACACAGCTAGCCAAATGATGGAAGCATCGTTTTCAATTGGCCTTAAAATCGTTGTCAATTAAGCGCGGATAGAGTTATTACGGGATAATGAGTTAAGCAACGAATAACCAATGAAATTGTATGGGATAAAAATGTACACAAGACATATTTCTATTAAAGTATTCTCGCAAAATCTGCAGAAAAAGAAAACGCCATTATTCACGCATCAACCTCATAAATATTCGTAAATCCCTTTCTTCCTGCCAATTCGTCATCTACTTCGACCCGCTTGTGGTTTACTTCCAAAGTATTTTCCACCGATTAAAAACTCGGAACACTTGTCTGAGGTAAATTTCCGAGATATCCAGCTTGACGTTGTGTGTTCGTTCTATATTTCAAAGAACAGCACATGAAAATTTTGAACCAGCATCTGTTAGCCTATATCTCAGGGATCAAAAAATGCTTGAAAAACTATTGAACCCAACAAACGAGTCTATTTGTTCAATGCTTCTTCTAACTCTTTTTTCAAGTCGTCTTAATTCTCTTCGCAACGTCGCATTTTGTGTAGAACCCAGCACTTCTTGCATTCGGTTCGTTCCCCCTCATTCGTCATCCATGGAAGTTTTTGTGTGTGGGTTTGGCTGCTACTTGAGGATTTTTCGCCTCCTTTATGAATGAATGCCCGTCTAGTCAATTCTTCCTTGAATTTTAGGATAGCAGTGGAAGGGCGTTCCCACTTAGATTGGAGGGCTGATCCCAGCCATGTTTGCTGCTAGTTTCCCAACCTCAGAGGGATAGAAGGTTTGGTGGGATCGGGTAGGGTCGAACGATCGTCTTGCTCGTATTAAACAGCAGCACGAGCTCTGCGCTAAATCCCCGTTGTCGTTTTCACTGACGCATACGGAATGTTTACCTATTACCTGTCAAAATTCATTCCTCATCATACCAAGAGAGTGGTTCTTTAAATGTTCGGATAATCACTTGCGAGCGTTCTCCGGTACGCAACTAGAAAACCCGATGAGTTGCATCCAGGGTAAACATACCTATCAACTCTGATGTACTTCTCGAACCAACTGAACCACTTCGTTGCACATTGTTATACAACGGAGGAAAAATTGGCGAGATGGATCGGGTACTGAACAGGAAGCTGTTGTGTACAGATGTGATGTCTGCTTTCTCTTCGCAACGATGAGGTTACTTTCTCTGTCACAAGGCAATTTCCACCTCTAGCGGCGGATGCCTCTTCTTTTTGGAAAAGGGACATCTCACAAAGCGGTGCTCAGAAGGTAAGCAGAGAGGTTTTTATCATCGATTAGATGCTTATTTCGAACATCTCGAACACACAATTTATCTTGACGACCGGTTCCTATTTTGATTATAAGGACTCAGGATATATTGGGAGTTCAGCGCTCAAGATCAATTTTCTCAACTGATTACAGAAAATTTCTAAAGGGTCATAACTCTTGACGTTAGTCTCCTCTTTGCAATGCTTCAGTATGAAAACGTTAGTCCTCTGTTTAGTTTAACTTCTATGTTTGCCATGATGATACGTAATGCACTCTATTTGGAGGTTCCACACACAACAGTGTCAAATCAGGAATTTTTTGAGGTAATGAGCCATAAAAAAGGATAAAGAGTGCAGCACTCTTGCTGAGCAAAGAGGAGGTGTTATTCTATTCTTTATTACGATGAAGCTGACGTTTCGTCGGGTTTCGTCTTCCTCAGAGCCTGGAAAGGTCAGGGCGAATGTAATCCACCCAACCAAACACCTTCACAACCAAACAGTGAAAGTGCCAAGCCAACGTTACGATCGCACTGGAAACAAAATAGCTTCCTATCTATAAGTCTTCCAATGAGTATGTCACGTGGAGATCAACCGCACAGAGTTCAGATAGAACAGTCTTCAATACTGCCCAATATCACGCGTGATTATGAGGCTTTCCTCTCTGCGGTTCATTTTCGGATTCTTGAAATTTATCCGGAATGCTTCAAGTGTTTTGCGTGCTGGTGCTCTCGATTCCTATGCGAGAGTTTTCAATTCTTTTTCAAAATCTTCCTCGTTATGTTTCTGTATACTTGGCGCCCTTAGTGGAGTATTTGGTTTTACTTAAAGTTTACCTACCAGGTGATCCTTTACACGGAGGTGGAGTGATCTACCCGTTCCCCAATCTATTCGTTTGCGCATGCTTTAAAAGAGATCGGATAAACCGTACTCGAACTCATTCAATCAGCATTTCTACCGCTGGGGCGTACTGTACAATTTTGCGCCGGTGCATAGACGGTGATGTAGTATGAAGCGGCAAACGGATGGACCACTCTGCGTCCGTATGAAAGAACACCTAGCCGGTAAAGTTCATGTTAAGCCGAATGCTTCCCTAGGCACGCAGACGACATAGAGACATAATGGGGAGGATTTTGAAGTGGAAGTTATCATTTTTGAAAGAAATCGAAAACACCAGCGCAGAAAACTCCTGAGACATTCCGGAAAAATTCCAAGAATCCGAGAATGAACCGCAGGAAGGCCTCGTAATCACACGTGATCTCACACAGCATTTAAGACTGATATTTTAATGTTAGAGGTACAATAAACTTTCGTGTGAATTCTGTGCCGTTGGTTTCCACGTGATACACTCAGTAGAAGAATCATAGAAAGCAATGAGTGTGCAAAGAATACCTTGTTTTCAATGCGATTGAAGTCTTTAGTGAAGTTTAATGTCTTTCCTGTTTAGTTATGGAGGTGTTTGCCTTGATAGATTGCAGTCACCTTGACGTTTCCAGACTCTGATGAAGGTGAAATCCGTCAACATGTCAGCGTCACAACAATAAAGTATAAATTAACACGCGGTGTTTGCTTAACGGCGATGTAAAGAATTACTTGATCAATGCCGACGTTAAGAGAAAGTCGGCCGTGGGAAAGCGTTCAGTGTTGATTTGTCGTATATAATGCCTTGCAGTGGTTCACTAGTTCATTAAATTGGTGTTTGTATCCTTCCATATCAGTTCTGCAGCCATTTTTGAACTCCAGAAGGATGAAGGACTTGGTTTGCTAGGGAATCGCGATCGAACCAGAGACTTACGTGAGTGTATTACAGTGCATCTCTCTCTAACCACTGTTCTACACGTTATACGCGTCTTAGGTAAACCACAGAAACTTTTTTCATTTTCCTTCATCTTCTTAATAACTCTTCCCAGGTTAGCCTCATCAAATGTACGCGAACAATGAGAGGGCCATTCATGAGAGCTTCATTCAAAAACTTGCCAGAAATGAAAAACTTATAATCTTAACCCTTTTATTTACCGCCTTTTTCTTCTTAATGGCAGGGTATGTTGCGAAATATAACTCGTATGAAATGCTGAGATATTTGGAAAACTCCGGACCGCAGGTGTATGCAGTGGAGAGCGAACACACGCTGTTGTCCTTACCAGGGAACAGCGCACTTCACCACCACACCATCCGGGTCCTTCGCTTTGCCTGTCGATTGATAGAACTAGCTGAGAGACAGGTAAGACGAAGGACCCGGATGGTGTGGTGGTGAAGTGCGCTGCTCCCCGGTAAGGACAACAGCGTGTGTTCGTTCTCCACTGCATACACCTGCGGTCCGGAGTTTTCCAAATATCTCAGCATTTCATGCGAGTTATATTTTGCAAAAAACTTATATTTTAGCTGCGTATGAAAAGTTGCAAATACATATGTTACCTGATTCCACGTTATGTTTTCTGCTAATTTTTAAAATAATCTGTTCAGGATTAAAAATAATAGAGCAGGGAAGAAGTGGGACAGTGGCACTTCGGCTTGCATGCACGTCGTTGCACTCTAAGGATTGAATAGATGGGATATACAGGTTAAATGTACCAAGAAACGATTTGCTTTGGTAGTCATGCTTTTTCTCACTTTTTTCCTTCGTTTTTGTTTTCTTTTTTTTAGCGACAGAGTCAGAGTTTTTGATGGAATGTTATTCTTTTTTGCCCAATGGAAAATGGCGACGAGGCCTTACACTCAATCTATTTGTTCCTGTAGTAGCAAGTAATCGGAGCAAGCATTTCTGCTCAAAGAACATATACGTGAGCTAATCTGTGGAGCACTTCAGATTCTATCTAATCACATCATTGCTTATTCATTTTCCACGAATCGACGAAGTGCACTCAGAGCTCTGACCAAACGATTCTTGGCAATTGCTCGCCTTACTTTAACACATGTGTCTGATGCTAGTTCTGTACGCTCCCAAGACTCCGTAAGTTCGCCGGGACTTGTTAGGACCTTACCACGAACACCAGCACCCTGCATCTGCATCGCAGTATTAGTGCGATATCGATTGCTTCCTAGAATTGGAAAATGTGGAGAGCACGTGCGATGGGGTGGAGTTGGAGGTGGGTGGATAGAGAATCGATTGCCGACCGAGTGCATGAATGGCTTGTGAAGGATAGCTGTGGGGCCCCAGTAAAGCGAGACTGAAAGGGCCCACGGATGGCGCCCGTTTAGGGCCCGCTATGTCCCTATCAGCCGCTGCCAGCCCTGCACCTGCGGGGCTAGGCCCAATGGTGACTTCTACCGGCACCGGCCTCCCATCAGCAGACTCGCTTCTGCTCACTTTACGCAACAAACCACATTCCCGAGTATTTCGCGCATTATTTCAATACTTACCGCTACGTGACTCCCCGAACGAGAATCCTCAATTGGAATTAGCCCTGGCTCCAGGTGATATCCTTCTCGTCAAAGGTGAAATGGACTCGGACGGCTTCTACCGTGGCGAAACCCTGGATGGTCGCACCGGTCTAGTGCCTTCGAATTATGTGGAACGGGTACCCGACTCGGTCCTGCTGTGCAACGCCCGAGCTCCATCCCCATCTTTTCCCATTCATGTCCCTCAACATCATTCCACAATCGTGCACGACTTCTCCGAATCCGATCATAGTCAGCTGCCTGACTCGGTCTGTCCTTATCCACCAGCCGACGTCTCCAAAGTCACCGTTCAGGAGATCAAGCAGAGCGACAGCCCACGAGGCAAGAGATTTCTTCTTTTTTCACCATTTCCATTTTTTAAGAAAGTTTAAATGTTTTCAATATCTATTCAGTTATGGTTTTTCTCTAACTGTATTCATATTCTTCGAAGTAATTCGGCCATAATGCGACATCTGTTGTTACCTATGTATGAGACCTTTCCATTTCTAAATCTGAATATCGCGAAGAGGGACAAAATTAGCCCTATCTCATGCTGTATCCTGTAATGCCCTTTTTAACTTCTCCGAAGTATCACCAATTAAGTCACATTCTCCTAAAGCATTCAATGTTATGGACAACATTGTGTTACCTCCGTCATGATTGGTAGCTCACTTCTCCACATCATCATATCTTTCGCTAATGTTTTTAGTTTTCATCGCTTTTCATGTTCAAAACCCTCTGTAGGACCACTGACCACTTCATATGTTTTGTAACGAATGTTCGGGTGCCATACTTGTTTACTAGTCCTTACCATGGAGTCGTCATAGAACGGAACCCGTTTCCACCCACGCTTTCTCCAAGCACGATCGATTTCGTCTCCTCAGGGGGATAAGCTAACTCACTTAATAACGCACATAAATAGTAACTGCTGAAAGAGCTTATGCTTCTCATTTATTATCTATTACAACCAACCGTTATTAATCTATGGAAGGGAGCTGAGAGCTGATAAAGCTGAAATAACCACTTCATTCGCTGTAATTTCTAAACATGCAGTGAAAAGAGCTAGAAAGAAGATTCTTTAAATCCAAGGTCTCCTCAGTTCAGCCTTTCTCAAAATTGCAACTCGTAACAGATCATGGGCCAAATTTGTCCAATTTTTGAGATTTTGAATTCGAGCTATTCAGATTTTTATTTCGTGCGCTACCCTTTGCCCCTACTAACCTAATGTTCCTAAAGGAAACGAACAACTAGTAAAGGACATAGCTTTGTTTCTGGCTGACCGTCTCTTCATCGTTCTCTTCTCAAGACTCGCAGCTTGTAAGGGGGTGTATGCAAGGAGGCGTTTTGGAAATGTTGCCCTCAATCCGAGATCTCTCGTAGAAACCTTTTGTTTATTCCACGTGAGCAGACTGAAATTATTAATTGCACTCAGTTCATAGTTAAGCAGTAGTGAAGACAAAAAGAAAAGTGTTGGCAAACATTGGGTTTTTCCATAGAAAAGAGCCTTTAAAAGCGGTTTTAAGTGAGATATTGATCGCCCAACAAAGCGGTGAGTAGGAGGATCCTGGAATGAAAAGAGATGGTCTTTCCCTGCCGAAGCATAAATCCAGGGTGGATTAGAAATAGAGTTCTCGATATGAGATTTCGAAGTTTTTCTCTGTGTTATCTGACGATTCTTAATCACTGAATATCCATTCTAATGTCAATTCGAGCGCAACAATGAAGAGTTTGGAGGTGCCGTGCAATAACAACTCATAATCTCTGGTTCGCCCTCGCTCCTGGACCACCAAGCCTGCCATCCATCAGGGGTCGATAAATTGGTGCCAGGCTTTTTTAGGAAAAGCCACCTCCGACTGACAAGCGCTAGCGCCATTCAAAGACATTCACGAAGAGGAACAGAATCCTTATGTAGCAACCGAGTGCACAGCCAATTTTAAATACTTTCGTGGATGACGGGTGCAAGAAACGAACGGAAGCAAAAAATTAATGAAATCTCCGTAATATGTGATATTGGGTCGCGTAAATAAAACAAAGGAAATAATACTAATCCTAAGGTCTATTTTATCCTACCCTTATGATTCTAAGGTCCATTGTTTCCTCCTCAACTTCTCTATTGAAACAAAAGCACTTCTTATTTAAATCAGCGAAGTAATTGGTTCAAATATCCAGCTATTTTGGTCACCTCTTTCTGCTGCTCTTGTGAGCTATGTGCTTCTTATTGGGCAGATCATACATTTCTTCTTTTTTTCTTTTCTTTCTCGCTTATTTCTTAAACTTTTCCCTTCAAGAGAAAAATTATTGAAAAGAAACATGTTTAATTCCCCATGATTAAGGAGATTCTAACTTGAAAAGAAGCATAGATAATGCAAATGTGTACTTTTTATTTCTATTCATCATCTTGATTATTACTGTAATCACTTAGCATGCCATCTATGTCATTTTTCCCACATAGATTCCAGAACTGGTGAACTAGGAGCCGGTTGCCAAAAAGCCTGAGTGGGGCATCCCCAGGCTGAGGTTAGGGAGATAAATGCGAATCGTGCTGAGACGTAGTTGTTGCACTGAAATGAACTACCCATCCGTTTTGTGCCGTACCGAATTCATTTATACTTCTTAAACACGGATGAATAGGTGTGCTTACGTCGATGGCTAAATATCACTAAGCAATTAACAAAACTTACTTGATTAACTTAATTAACGAAGGAGTGTCAAAAAGTAGGATAAAGAAATTTAACTCGGCGAACAGTGACTCTCCATCCTGTGATAGGTTCCTAATAAATGTTTGTGTGCAGTTCCATGTCCTCGTGATCTGATGGTAGAGAAGAAGATGTCGCGCTCAGTAGTCGTGGCCTGGTCTCCACCGGAGGAGTCCTTCGTCGCTGTTTCGCAGTACCACGTCTGCGTAGACGGCCAAGTCCGTGCTGTTGTACCCGGTTCCTACAAGGTGAGATTTAGTTGGTCATTTCGGCCATCACTATCAAATAGTCCTTTTCGTCTTTGAGAGAACGGTTCTATCCATACTGATATTTTCACTTTCGCGTTCTCTTTCCCCTTTCTTCCTCTTGTGTTCTAGTTGTATTGTTTTTTTTAAAGTTGCCATGTGTTGATCTGTCTAATCGCTTTATTTGGTCTTCATCATATCTTTCTCTAAAGGTTTCCTTTTAGTGAAATACAGCCACAAGATTGCTGAGATATTTAGGAGATAACTATTTCGCTTGATACCCTGCCATAAAAATTATAGAAGGCAGAAATAAAAGGTAAACATTATTTCTTTTTAGTGTTTACTGCAAGAAATCATCTCTTGAACAATTTTCTTTTCATCCTTTTTTTTCTGACGGTGAAACGTTGTCTTTCGGGCAATCTTTGGTTCACGGGTTCACTCATAGATCTCCATATTGTAGCATTTTGGCGCATTGGGGTTTTTAACCCCAGGTTTCCGCTTTTTTCTTGCTTTTGTATTATTTTTTCCGGAAAAGCGTTGTAGTCAAAACAGAGCATATTTTCCTTCACTTTATTTCCGTTGAACCTGCTATGATTACAAGTGTATTGTTGTTGTTGCTGTTGTTGATAGCGACTATCTTTCGCCTCCCAACTTCAAGTTCACATCATTCCTACGGCCCGATGTTTTCTTTTTCGTGAATCGATGTTGTTTTTCGCTAATTTTTCCTCATTAAGTGTCGTGCATTAGTGGAAGACGTTCCTCTGGACGGCTCCGTTAATCTTTCCATTCGGGCGCTTTCGGATCAGGGCCATAGCCCTGATGCGGCTTGCACAATCACTCTGGGCAACGGTGAGTCTCGTCTACAGGCCATTCGTGTTTAAAACTGCCATAACTGTCATTTTTATGTAGTTGCCATGGCAAGTAACCTTTCTTCTTTGTTTCAAGATTTTTTTGGTTTCTGTAAATGTCACTTTTACGAAATTGATCACATTTGTTGGTCTTTGTTCAGTCGTTGTTATTCTGTTGACTAGCTTTTCACGAATTTGTGTTGGCATCCGTATAGACGTGCTTGCGTTAGCCATCTGGCTTTTTTCTTCCGTTGTACCCGGCCATTTCTTTCCCTATCCACTTCGCTCGTGTCTAATTTCCCTAATAGGCCCGGTTCGATGTGTGAGTGTGTATGTGTGTGTGTGTGCGTGCGTATGTGTGTGTGTATGCTTTGTGGCATTCGATTTATTCATGGATATATTCCGGCAGTATGAGTGAGTGAGGAGAAAGTGTCCAACAATCTCAGTTGACTGATCCCATATGTGCATAGACAATTCGGTCAGTAATTCGTAGCAGAACTAGCAGCAACATTCGGCATTCCGGCACTCTCGCCCGATCCTCGCTTTTCCTCTGCTCTCATTTGAGGGCTTGTGTGGCGGGAGTTATACGGCAATGGGCAATCTATCCAACGAAAGCATGCAGCAGCAGCGGTATTTCTGCTTCGTATTGATTCGTTCCTTTTTGTTAGGGCTAGAGGGGCTTACCTATATGGCTCACTCTGTCGCTGCATTAAAATCAAATCGCTTGGTCTCTATCAGAAAACTAGGGCAAGAAGAAATACCAATGGCTGTCGTTTCCTAGTTTCCTGAACCTACATAGTCGGGTTTTTCGCATACCGTGGCCCTTTATATACTCATTAGAACAACGGGAAACTTCTCTACGGCAAAGTGAACGTACTCCAAACTACCGTTTTTTCCATTACAGTTTTTTCTAAGCAATTCTACGTGGGAAACGAAACCTTTAGCTTTACCAAAACAGCATCGCAAAACATTGTGAGTAGTTCCATGGGTACAAATATTCACAAGACTATGTATTTCAAATGTTGGATAAAATAATGATGGGAGAACAAGAAGTTGAATGATGGTAATTTCCTTGAATATCCAGATGTACTACAAATCCCTGAAGAATTTAATTTCCTCAACAAAGTAACTAATGGCGATTCTCCGTTTGGGTTATCACCACAGCGACGATTGTGACTATAACAAATTATGGAGAAGAAGCAGTTTTGACAACTATTATCGACCTTGACATGTTTCCCACCAGGTCGTTGTACTTCGTCTGTTTCCCATGACACGCTCGGGACATGAAAGCTTTTTTCATGGTTAATGATATAATGGAAAGCACAATGATGCTGAGATACTGGGAAAACTCTGGACCGCAGGTGTCTGCGGTGGGGATTAAACCCGCCATTACCCTTTCCGTGATCGGTAAAAATTGTGATAGGCAGTAAATTGAAAACTTAACATAATGGATAAGGTCTTCAAGAATATCTCATGCGAGCTAGTCATGAGGAAGCAACTCTTTCCATTTTCGGCAATTGGTTAAGAAGGCGTCTATTATTTATTTTTTCATTAATAGAACTCGACTACAAATGTTTAAATTGTTTTCTTGCTGTTCGTTCTCTCGCCTTCATTATCCGCGAAGGTCAACGTCCGAGTTCGACTACCATTTGGGATATCCTTCATGAAAGTAGTTGGTGCTGATTGAGTTGATTTTATCTTCACCAAAAACATTCGCCAGCGTTTGGGGATCGAAAAGGGTTTTCCTAGATAAGTTTAGTATCAGTTTGCTGACCTTGAAGCATCAAAGGGTTTGCTGGATATGAACGAGATCGAGCCAGAGACCGCGCATGTGTTGAACTGCGGCTCTAACAACTGTGCTTCCCCTGCTTTTAGTGATGATAATAACAGTAATAAAATATGGTATTGTGTACAAGAACCATTTGCTGTAATCACTGGATATATGGTTTTTCTGTTTAAATTACTGCTGAAAACTTTCTCGGTACCGCGCATATACATCTACTAAACACTATGCTCACCGTAAAGGATGCAGTCTACACAGACCCTAACGTTCCCTCACGTTTCGACAAAATGGTCCCGTATGTTTTCCTGTAACTTTTATCCTTGTCTTAGCAGGGGCATGACATCTAGTAGCCAAGACTGTCTCGATGTTCCCGTTTATTTCTTTAATTATCGGAGTTGCCGCTTTTCAGACGTTTGATGCACTTTGGGTGCATATGTGTCGGCGGTATGTTTAGAACAATGGCAGTTGCATGAAGTGGATTGCTCTGCCGGAGAAAATCCTGCCGCAGTTTCTTAGCATGCAATAATTTTCCTTAGCAGAGCAATCGTTCTAAGTGTCGTGAACAAATCTGCAAATCTGCATGGTATTATAATAGTAATCTATTGCGAATCATAGATTACTATTATGGTACCATTTGCAGATTTCGTGTGGCGCAGTGGTTGGAGGCGTCGCTGCGACACACACGTGGGATTGATCCCCGCACCCATGGCCCACCAAGCCTTCCATCCCTCCGGGGTCGAAAAATTTGCACCACACTTATCTGGGAAGATAGCAGCACTGGCTCGACACATCGGTAGGCCACTGCGAGTCATTGTCAAGGGCAGATATGCACTCAATAACCTCCAACGATACTTAATGAAGTCGAATGCATGGCGCGTCCCTCAGGGATTGATCAACGCCGAGAGCTTCATCCTTTATCCTTTAATCTATTGCGAAAAGTCTTTTAAATCAAAACTACTGCTAGGTTGAAAGTAATTAGAATCGGATTGCACTAGATATGGGCAAACGTCCTCTATTGTCGAATTTGCAGTCCTTTGAAATCGAATGCACTGTGGCATTGTGGTGATGGTTTTTTAGACCAGTTTGAAAAACTTCTCAGTGGGCCTACAATTTCTAATTTGGGGATCCAGATCCATGTTTTTTGAGTTCGTCAGGATTTTCAACGCCGTTTACCTACGTTAGTGCTTCATGCTAGAGTCGTAGAACTCAATGCCTTTAATCTATAGGTCATGATGGAACTGGCTTAGTTGATTTTGAAAAATCGCTCGTTGAGTGTAGAAGGGCCAAATGAATTCCTTGCGGAGTGCCAGTGGATCTGGACTTGATTCCCGACCAAACTGGTTTTTTTTACTTGTCATAGAATAATGTATGCTTTGCAGAGGCTGCCGTGGCCCCACAGCATTTGCGTGTGTGGGCCGTCACGCCGGTATCAGCTTGTCTCAGATGGTATCCTTCGAACAGCAACGCCGACCACGTAATCTCCCTGAACGCCGTCAAAGTAGGAGTGTGCCCGCCCAGCGTCTTCCAGGTGAGTCCCGAAAGATGTCGACAAACCAAAAGAGTTCGACACAGAAATGACTTAAACATAAACTAGAAGCGAGTAAATTCTAGGGTTACAAGGAGACTAAACTTCAGAGCGACTGGTTTAAATTTCTTAAGCAACGACTTCTACAAAGTTGTCGGTTTAACATCAACTATGATTTACTTTTGAAACAAGTACTCTTTCTTTGCGGTTGCTACAATTTCGCTATAACCGACGTGCATACAACTGGGCCGCACCAGCCTCTAAATCTATGAGCACGCAGCTTCGATCAAGTGATGGGCCACCTTTTCTATGTTGTCTTTCTGTTTTCTGTAGGCTAACTGAACTTTTTTTCATCCTGAAATTTCCTAAACTCCTGGATTTTGGGAGAAACGCAAAATCAATAGTGTAGGCTGACGATGGCGGTAATGCCATTTTCGCCTTTGTGATCATTTCGCTGAAATAACAGAGATCTTCTTTCAAATGTACTTGTTTTTACGGGATCGTTTCTTATTTTTTTCGGTGGCTATCGATAATTTCTGGTTAACTAATTGAGGATTCAAGAGGTTTTACATACCGTAAGAGTTCAAGTGACCTTCCCAGCATATTATTTAATTTTTGACCGCGAATTTTGATTTTTCAAAAGTTTTGACACAAGGAAAACATCAGCACCTTTGATGCATTGGATGGCTTCATCATGTGCTGTTGAAAGAAATCCCACTTATTCAATTATTTCACTGGTCGAAGTATATGCCTTGGCGCGAAAAAGAAGGAAGAGAAATTCCCTCGTTTGCTGCAGAAAGCCACAATTTATCTTGGTGAAATAAGAGGACTATCTTGTTGGCAAAAATTCGTCGATTCCAATGATTTCAACTTTAATTGACAAAGTTCACTGTTAACTGAGATAAGTTTCTTTAAGTTTCCGAGGTTATCTGTTATTTTTGATCACGCGTGACTTGAAGTCAATTCACGTTGTCCACAATGTGTTGAATTCGATCAGTTCGCAGTCAGATATGCTCAGCAAAATAGATCCTTCTTAGCGCTCCGACTAATTTAGACATCTGATTGCCTCTTCGTGTTTAAGAAGACGAATTTCTTGGGTGGCAGCAGATTTCCTTTCAGTAGATATTCTGGTCTTCTTCCAAAGTGTCGCGATCGGGGTCTACCACTGGAAATCTGGAAGTCTTCTCTACAGTCGGACCTCAGTCTGACTGTGTCACTCAGGCTGACATGTCGTGCCCTTCGCCGTCGTCGGTCCAATGTCGGATTTTTGCGGCTTCGTTCTGGGCTAATTTTCTGTCTCTCTGAACGTCGATGTCTCGGCGGGAGCGCCGTTGTGTCGTTCTTTCGCTTTATTGATATCCGATATAGGACGCTTCACGCTCTTGCATTCTTTACTAAATTAAAACGTCGCAGCGCTAAATTTTCTTAAAGGCGACTTGTTGTTGTTCACGGTGGGCCGGCTAATTCACATGTAATCAGTTCTTTTTACTTCGGTTCAAGTTAGCAATTTGAAGGGTAAAGAATAAATGGTAAACCATCGGCGTTGATCAGTCCCTGAGAGATGCGCCAAGCATTCGGCTTCATTAAGTACCGTTAGAGGTGAATGAATGCATATCTGGAATAGCGGTGGTCTATCGATATATCATATCAGTACTGCTATCCTCCAGGAGAAATCTCGTCCAATTTGGTGTTCTCTTTTTTACAGTAATCGCGAGATTGTTATTCAGCGCACGTTTAATTCCTCACAAATATAACACACACAACACAACGGTAGCTGTCATTTCAGTAGTATCGCCTTCTTCAGAGCCTGGAAGCATGCACTAATATGTAATTTGCTAGGTCAAACGCTTCAACAACGCAAACAGAAAGATGGAAAACTGAACAGTAATTACACGTTCACCGGCTTCTCGAAAAGCCCACCGTATTTATCTGTTTTCCACCAAGAAAGAACATCCGCTTAGAGTCGTATATGGTTGACTACTGCACCACCCCACATCAAAAATCAGGTCTGAGATACGGGGCTAGATCACGCATTATCTCAGGGCATTCTTCTCTACTATTCATTCTCGGGTTTTTGGTATCAAAAACGCCTCGAGAAAGTTGCGCGTTGTTGTTTTAGTCTCCTGTGCGATGATAACTACTTTTACATCGAAATCTTTACTATGGTTTTGTATCCTATGCATGGCTAGTGGCATGCCTTCTTTTGATTTTCGTTTGCCATCTAGGTGTTCTTTTATGCGGATACACAAAGGTCTGCCCGTTTCGCCAATATATTCATCTCTGCAATCACTACAGAGATCAGGTATATCGCACCTGAACTCATGCAGTCCTCTGCCGTAAGGGCAAATTACGCAATTTGGTGTTTCACATAGATGGTTATACAGACGGTTACGAACTAACTGGCGACGTAGAGTATCCGGTGTATCTCGTCCAATTTGTCGACCCCGAAAGGATGGAATGCTTGGTGAATCCTGGACGAGAAGCCGAACCAGTTACCACGTGTCTGTTATGGTGCACCTCTTACCAGTGTGCTATACGCGCCCGGATGTCAAACAATATCAGAACAAATTTCATTTTAGCGCGCTGGATTGTAAAGCTTTGGGTGTCGCTATCACAAAATTATGTGCTGCCACTTGCCATGGGTTAGCTGACGATTGCATACCAGCAATACAGATTTATGGCAGACTAGTGACGTACAACCAAGTCTACAGAATTGAGCACTGTGACTGTGGAGAAACTTTATCGTTGTAAACGGTGTAGACATTCTAAATAAGTTAAATCTAAATAAAAGTTTTAGGATTTGAAATAACATATAGTAGAGAGAAGAATTTTCAGAAAAGCTATTGGAGAGTTCTTTACCTACTACTATCTTGCAGAGAGTTGGGTCTTGTGTAGAAATTACCGGCTAAATTCATTGTTAGATTGCTGTCTCCTGTGTTCTATTTTGCAATGAAGACGATGAAATAGCAGTAAAGCTGGATCATCGTTATCCTTGTTGACGAGGGATAATGTTCGTATTATTATGATGCAAGAAGCAGTTGGACGAGAAGTGAAGGGTTTTCGAGTCGAAGATTTGCAACTTCATATCAATACCGACGGCCAGTGAGAACACGCGTTTTTCAGTTGCTTTAGGTTGTCAAGAAAGTTATTCATCATTTTTCCGAAATTTTTTTCATAAAAGCTTGCGAAGGATTGGTGAGCGTGGTTTAATGTCAAAACATGTCAGAGCGCTCCCAAGGCTTCCAGTAGGAATTCCTCATGAGCTTAGCTATGCTGACAGCGTAAATCAAGTGAGAATTTGCAAACCACTGCCTCCTGTCGGCTTAGGAAAGGGCTTTCTGAAAAGAGTAGTTACAGCAGACCCGAGTCAGCTCTTCTACACCAACATATAGTGCTCATTAGTTCATACGAGTATTGTCGTCACTTGATCTAAAACCAGAATTCCGAATTCCGCAGGTAGACACTTCTCTGCTGTTAGAGTGTTTTTAAACGAGTTTTCTATTTGGAGAATTCATCATCGATGTCACTGCCTGGTGAAATTTCCGTCGCGCATCTACACTGAAGTTGGCCCTATCATCTAACGAGTATGTTGACGTTGTAAAGCTTTTGCTCATGATAGTGGATTTCCACAATTAGAGAAAATGGCGTTGCGGTGGATTCTAGGTGTATCTATTAAAGTTTTACTTATATTTCTCCAAAGTTCTCTTTTACAAGCGATCCCCACTCTTGAGCTGTCACGAACCTCTTGCGAAATGAAGTCAACAGGAATGGTCACAATTCGAAAATTACATATACCGTCTCTTCGCGACGTAATCGGCAGAGTTGTGGATAAAGGAGTTGAGTGATTGACCATCTTTAGGGAACACACATAAATAGATCATTACTTCACTTCGTCTCTTTGCCCTGTAATCGTTAGCGATACCTGTGGTCGGGTTCACTTCTAGAGTTCGGATATGATTCATGTTTATGGATCTGTTGTCTTCCTTACTGTCGCTTCTCAATGCTGATTGAATGCAGTTTTTCTTGCAATTCCGAAACAGCTATAGCCGAGAACTCTAGGAGACCTCAGTGGCTGCAGCACTTTCTGCAATTAGCACACCAACCAAGGTTGATATAATATGCCTAATTCCGTAGGTTTCCTATTTCTTATTCACAGACTGCTATGATGTATCAGCGATTACGAATTTACGAATTCTTGGAAGGTTCGCGCAAAATATTGCAAAATCTTCTTCCCAACGTCCGACTGACGACTGCAGATTATTCGCTCATCTTCGGTAACATTCTTTACCAATATCGCCTCTCGCTACGTTGACCCCCGAGTGACTCGAGGGGTCGGCAGTAATTCCTCCACTTCTCCCTATCGCATGTAAGAGTAACTCAACGAGTTCTGCACGCTCTGGAGATTAGCTGAGCATCATATCTTTTTTCAAGAGTTTCAGATTACTCTCTCGTCTTCGATTCCATACGATAAAAATTTGAACGGCCAGAGCGAATGCTTCGGAAGTTCTGAAATGACTACTATACGATTTCGAAAATCGAAACGTTTTTAATACTACCAAGGACTCGCATGGTGTGGTGGTGCACACGTTAGCCCCTGGAAAGGGTATTAGCGTGTTCGGTTCTCACTACGGACACCAGCTGTCTGGAGTTCTGCAAATATCTGAGCGTCAATGTTTTTAACACTGTTTTAGAAAGTGAAGCACGTTAATCTCTTTGAACTGTTAGTGGGAAAAAAGACTAAAACAGCATTTCAGGGAGACAAAGTAAACAATGCTGCTCTTCTGTTCACATAGCTATAAACACTTTTTTTTATATTTCTATGTTTCGTAAAGCTACTTGAGTTCAAAATTGTCATGTGGGATTTCAAGCCAATGTTCTTTCTTCTCATTTCTGCCCATGGTTCACATGAGTGCGCTGGCAGCGGTCAATATGAGCCGTTTTTCTGTTGTACATTATTCTCTTGGGATTATTTTTGCATCAAATCGATTGCTTTTCTTTCACTGACATTGCTAGCATCTTAGAAACAGCCACTTCTAGACCAATAAATTTATGAATTGTTTTCTCCCGCCCAGTAAATATTGGAAACCGCCCTCTGTCTGCAATATGTTCAGCACGATTCGGGCGTAATGAGCCGCACTTGAATACGAAATGCTTGCCGATCTTCTCCATTTCTCACCAGAATATCATATGAAGGCGGATGTCGCTAATTGTCCGACTCCTACGATCCTCGCCCTCTCCCGTAGCGCGCGCCCCACGCCTATGCACTCTCAACGAGAGGAATTTTCAACACCGGCATGCTTCATCGTTTGTCGCTTTGTTCTTCTACGCGTTGCGTTTTATTTCTTACCGTACCAGAGACACCATCATGATCCTCTCCTCGCAGCTTTTGTCATACTTCACATTTTTGCTGTGCCCATGTCGTTTGAAATATCTCGTTGCTTATAGGTGGAACTGTTTCCGAAGGTCTTTTTTTGGCGCTCTATATTTTCGGGGGAACGCAACATTGCTATGCTTCCATAACAAGAACGGTTTATTTTGACTCTCTGAGAAAGAAATAAGCGCGCTGAACTAGCGCTGATTTGTCCTAAATAATTGTTCTTCGACTGCTTTCCTTAGCATGAAACTATCCAAAACTCCTTTAAATGAGGTATAAGTAGATTTCTGAGTCGCTGTTCTCGACTTCATCTGCTTCAGGTGCAGCTACAAGGACTCCAGCCGTCGACGATCTATCGTGTTTCCGTGCGAACGAAACACCCGAAAGCCGTGCTGGAACAACGTCCGGTTGAACGTTGTCTCGATTTCAAGACACTGCCCAAGAGTGAGTTTTAACCGCGACTGCGTAACCTGTATTATTTTATGTCGAATGCCCCACACTCAGTGCGCTTGATCCTGCTTACCTCAATACTTCCGACTTTAGTTTCACTTGGATATGCAGACATTGATAGACATACGACCACAGACCACCCGTACTCTCTAATGTAAGGGTTTTTTTTTCCTCAAAATAGTCTTTTCTCGTGTTACATGACCACGCTTCTCTGATATTCATTTGTTTTTCGATTTCGTGAACTTCGAGAACCCCTTACATTCCGAATCATGTTTCTGCTTTTTTCCCTCCTATTAAGCTCTCGAATATCTGTCTCTTAAGCTCGCGAATATCCACATATTTTCTACCGATAGCGTTGACATCATGAGAGGTTCTTCGTTCCGCCCAAATCTTCTTTTACCTCATCTACGTAGCTTCAAAAAAGGCTTTTCCGTAATTTTCCAAAGATTTGTTGGCTTTCGCCCGCTCCCTCTCTCGCTATTCCCCTATGTGGTCGGGGCTAATTATGAAATTGTTCACAACCGTCCGAACTTGAAAAACTCGACACTTAACTCGGTGCAGAATATCGTCGTCACCTAGCTCTGTCATAAATCCCATTAACCTTCATGTATGTAGGAAAGGCACCGATACACTTTGTACTCGTCCTTGCTTCGCATCAGAACTAACTAACAGGTACCGCTGACTTCGTTGAAATGAATCGCATGACGCTTTACAATATGATGACGCTTTATCGAGGGACTACTTCTTGGAGGTGATTTCTAATCGACTCTCACATGTTTCCCAGTAATTTGATTTCAGACTTTTTTCCGAATCGAAGCACGTATTGGATATGATTGCACATATACACGGGATTTTATGCTCCTTCATCATATTTCCCATATTGTGGAAACAAACGCCATTGTCTGCGAAAACTGTGTGAAAAAGATCTCTAAGCAATACCGCTATGGACACGAGATGTTTCGCTCTCCCATGCACGGTTGCTATGTTTTTTTGAGGAGGTTCATTTTAGAAACGTCAGTGATTTCTGCATCCTTGATGATGCTCTCCAACAAGTTTTTTCATCTGGAGCTATTGTCGTTACAAGAGCTCCGGATATTTCTGTTCAAACCTCTAGCATAATTATTGATTCATAGGGGCGTATAGTGTCATTTCATCTCTGCACATTGGACGTAATAAATTTTTAGAGCTGTGAATTAGCTAGCAGCTTACCCAAGTGCCTCCTAAATGATACATGCCATGCCCGTTTCTCTGGTAACCCAACAACAAGCGAGACTGCTTGCTCCATTCCGTCATACAATTATGTCAGTTCTACTAATTCGTCAAGAAGTCGGTGATGCATTAAAATGGGACGAGATAAAGTGTTCATTCCCTTGGGCATGCGCCATTTATTCGTCTCCACTAAGCGTCATAGGGATGATCTACTGCATATTTTGCATGAGATATTCTATTCATGTATCCATTTATTGTTTTTATCCAGCTCACGGACTGGCCTGGTAATAGTTTAGCAAAAGAGGTTTTATGGGTTTGGTTTATGCTGCGTGCAAGATTGAGCCAACAACCAGGCGCGAATTACAAAAGAACCCTAACCACTGCGTTACATATGACCCTAGTTGTATACTATTTCAAAATTTTTGCAAATTTATAACTGCAGTGAATGGACACCTGTCTTGATAGTTTCCTAGGTCTTATGTTATTTGAGCTAATTCGTGCCGGCTCGTTGCATGTGGCGTGGCTTATCTACAGTTGCTATAGAGGCTGCACGTTGGCCATGAGCTGCATACTTAATTTAAGAGCACGTCGGTTCACGGAGTGGACTCATTTCCTGCAGTGTAGAGCTTATTCACACTGTACAACCACTTTGAGTGAAGGGAACACAGCTCACTGACGACGAGCCGCAAGTTTTTTGAAAACCTTCGTTTTCGAATTTCGAAACCGACCAAGTCAACCAAAAGGCGCCATTCAGATAGGAGTAATTTCCGTGTGCTGGAGTAATCAACTGATAAGCTCACATTGGCAACTGTTTATCTGTTTGGAGACAAAGATTTTTTTTTGATCCTTGGGTGAACTTGGTAGCCTCGAATAGGATATCAGTGTATTAAGGTGCTTGCTTTTCATTTGAAAAGAGAACATTCTTAGAGAGCTCTACTATTATTCTCTTAAGAAAGACAAGTCCTATTTTTTTTAAATCTCTGATTTCCTTTTAAAGGCAAAGTATTCGTGCATGAATAAGGGTTCATTTCTGTCCAAAACAAACGAACCTGCATTTTTTCCAAAAAGCGTCTTAGCATTCTCGCACAGAAAGAAGAAGAAATGAAGCCTAGTCGTACTTATTGAAAAAAGAATGCTTACTATGCCAACGATAGCAAAGTTCTTAGGAAAACAATGTGATTTCTGTGTTCTTTGTCCTGTGATAGAAATCAGATTTGGTTTGAAGACGCAGGAGTTTGTGTTATGATAGCCTTTGAATTGTAGGTTTATTTTTGACATTTATATTTACTTTCTATTAAAAATGTCTTGTTCTCAGTTGGCCTACCAGATCCACCGACAAACGTTCAAGTCGAGAACGGACCCCAAGCGGGGACATTGCTCATCTCGTGGACGCCGGTGACCAACCAACCGAAACCTCCGTCGAGAGCGGCTGTCCACTCGTACCTCGTCTACGCCGACGGCAAGAATATCGCTCAAGTCCCGTCAGCCACGGGTAGGTTGTCCTTTCTGAATCTGCATTCACCATCATTATTATCAGCTCTACAGAAGCACTAGCCTGACGCACGGGCGTTAGGATATGTTCTAACTTCTACATCTAACAAATCGTAGTTAACAGTTTTCAGTTAGTGGATGTGAATAGAAGGTTATTCATAGTTATAATGCCCATTGAACAGTAATGGCTTCATACATGGATTGGAAAAATGTGAGAAATAAAACATTGCTATCGGAAACGTTAACGACGGCAGCAACAACAACAACAAGTGAGACCAAACTCGCATCAGCTGAACAGGAGGACTACGCAGGAAACACGGCCATTATAGTTTTTTTGTGAGAAGCTAGCAGGCCAATGGTATCATTTGGTGCTAACTGTTTCCCTTAAATGTGGTTTCTTAAAAAATTTCTTTTTTTCTCTAAACTTCCTCTAGTAATAGCCCGTTTAAAAGTAATCGCTATCAAAAATTGAATTTGTAAAAGCTGTAAACGCTCTGTTCCATGTAGAATTGAAGTCTTTTGTGTAGACTGTGATTGTGCCAGTCATCTTCTTGAGATAGAAATGTCCATGCAGTTAGGGAAACATATACTTCGAAACGGATAACGTTCATTTTTGTCTCAATTGTAGGTGGAGCAATCAAATGCAAATTCGAACGGCAGAGGTTGATTTTGAGTAGTTCTGTGAGCTGAGAAGGGTTTCTTGGATGAAGGCTTTTTTTCTTTTCAGCCGACCACGTGCTGCTTCGACTAGCCGACCTCTCGGACGATCCGCCGATCTTCATCACTGTGCGGACTCGGACGCGCGAGGGTGCCGTGTCGTGCGACTCCAACGTGGCGCGCGTGCCTCGTGGTCCATCGTTCAGTGCGGTACCAGACGAATTGCTTCAAACGGCACCCTTACTTGATATGGCGCACTCCTACCCGAGTGCAAGCCGCTACATTCCAGGACCACGTTCTGGGCAACCGCCACCTCCACAGCAAACTGCACCCTATACTGCCCCGCCAATGCTCAATTCATTGTCCTTCCAAGCTAATCCACTTTCTTCGTACGCTACTACTGCCTCTGCTATTCAGGGATATACTAGTTTAGTCGGCACCGATCGAATTGCACCTTCCAGCGCAATGGGCAGTCAAGCGATGGTCGGCGCGGGTCAGCTCTCGGCCGGCATGCAAGCCACAGCCACGTTGCCGATGTCCGCGATGAACACCTCGGGCGCTTTGCCATGCAGCATCGGTGCTGCTGGCAGTATGCCGTTGTCCACCACTCTGTGTACGTCTTCCATCGCGCCTGGGCTGGCATCTTCTCAGGGAGCACTTCCAAAGGTGAGTGTCTTCAATTATCACTAAGCTCTTTACAGCAACTCTACCGTGCTAAACCATCTAAGTGTCTGTGTGAAAAAATTAAGTGCTGATGACCAGCTTTGATTCTGTAGTGCATAGAGTGATGGAATTTTAGTTATAAACATAGTTTTATTCTGTTGTTTGAAGGTCGCTCACAACTCCATTTTGGTTCATCGGATTATGAAGGAAATATTGCGCACGTTATTTCAAATCGATAAGCACGGGATCTTTACACTAGCTTATTTTTATTGAAAAACGATCGTTTTAGGGTATATGAAGGACATCGAGCATAGCCCGTAACCACAAGTACCGCCTTTAGCCATTCAATCTTTCTTATAGATTTCCTCCGTTGGTGTTGGTAATCAATTTGTAAAAATGTTGTGGAAGTGCCAGAAGTTTTGGAAGGCTGCCGAATTCCAGTTTCTTGTGATTTTAAGCAAATGGCTAGGGATAACATGATTGTTACCGAAAATAACCTCCATTTCTGGAAGCAGACCTCTGGTGCTATGTGTCTTCAGATCAGAAGGTCTCCTTTTCGAAGTCATCATTGGCAAAATCGCCCACACGTGGTCCCTGCATTTCATGATTTTCCCCGTATGCTACGTTTTCGCCGCCTTCACGCACTTCTCAACGTTCACTGTGGTACTTCACTTTGGGTTCGAAATCGGACATACCAAGCAGAAATTTGTTCGGAAAACGGTTTGGCATGTAAGTGTAGAATAGGGACTTTCTCTGCCGTCTTAGCAATGGGCTTTGAAACACATGAGTCACATATGACTTACATCATCGCCAATCTATGCTCAGCCGATTAGATCCCATTGTTTTATCATATCCCTAAGCATTTGCCCGTGGCTCATCTATTCAACGTAAGCATATCGTTCAGACCAAGACTTGTAGACGTTTTAGAGTTCCTCGTCTTGTTAAGCTGACTAAGTAAATAGTCCAGTTACAAAGATTGTACGACTGTTTCATAGTTAAACTTTGGAATGCGTCCGAATAAGTTTTACATTGTAGTCCATTCACTTCGTGGAGAAACCTCATTTAGTACTATTTTCAAAAAAGCGAAGTCTGTCTGCATTCGTGGCGTGTTAAAACCACGCTCTCGCCATCAAAGCTTCATGTAGTTCTCGCTGATGTCTAATTAGGATAACGATAAAGCTCTCGGCGTTGATCAATCCCTGAGGGGTGTGCCATGCATTCGACTTCCTTAAGCATCGTTTGAAGAAGATTGAATGCATACCTGGCCTTTACAATGACTCGCGGTGGCCTTCCGTTGTATCGAGTCAGTGCTGCTATCCTCCCAGTCAAGTCTGGTACCAACTTGCCGATCCCGGAGGGATGGAAGGCTTGGTGGGCCATGGGCGCAGGGATCGATTCCACGTGTGTGTTGCAGGGCGCCTCCAACGACTGGGCCGCATAAGCTACGCGGTGTCTAGTTATTCTAAGAATTCATGGAAGCTGAACGACCCTATAAAAACAGCCTGTACTGCTCCATTAAATGGATTTCGTGTCTTATGCTGAAAGCAGCATGCAACACAAAACGGTAGGACTCAACGTTTTCTGCGCAGCCAATGACTCGACATTCGTCGCCATGTTGAGGAGCTGCTTGTCGATCTGGGACCGATCACTAGGTAGTAAAGGCATTTGCGTATAGTAAGGCAACTGGATATCTATTAAGTGGCTCACATAGATTATTGTACAAATCAAAACTGCTGGGCTCAATTCGCCATAGAATTTATTTTAGTTCTAGTTTATCTGTGAAATTTTTCTTCCGTGCTGGCAAGTGGTTCATGCAGGTTTCTAGCAATTATAATATGCAGGCGATTTTCTTACATATCTAAAGCGTATTCGAGGTGACCGCATCATCAATAAGTTCAAGGAAAAGGAAATAAATTGAAAGTGGCTTGCAAAGAGCAATAACAATATTTCAAAACCGACTTTCCTTTAATCTCGGGATTACGACTCAATATGTATTCTTTCTTTGATAAGCTTACACGAGGTTGATAAACAATTTTTACTCGGCTGATGTCTCAACGTCCTCTGTTCGTCAGAGCTGATGACCCGAGTCGATAGCTTATCACCTTCGTGTAGGCTTACCAAAGAAAGAATATATGCTGAAGGTGGCTTATTGAGGGTGCCACTGCGATACACACGTGGAATCGATCCCCGCGCCCATGGCTCACCAAGCCCTCCATCCCTCCGGTGTCGGCAAATTGGTACCAGACTTGTCTGAAAGGATAACAGCACTGGCTGGATATATCGGTAGGCCACCGCGAGTCATTGTAAAGGTCAGATTTGTATTCAGCCACCTCCAATGGTACTTAATGAAGTCGAATGCATGGCGCATCTCTCAGGGATTGATCAACGCAGAGAGCTTTATCCTTTATCCTTGTATTGAGAATAGCGAACTTTTTCAAGAAACCTCTGCATCTTTTGCGAATATTAGTTTCATGACGTTTTATGGAGTGCATGTGAAGTGAAAGTCCTTCTAAGTGCATTAACTAGCATATCGATGTTCAACTAAGCCTCCAAGATGGTGATTGGATCGCAACTGAACTCGGAACGTTGAAAGAATTCCCCCGCATGTTTTCGCAAAATGATTTAAAAATTGCAATTTTTTGCAGAAAATCATGTTTTTCGAATAATGCAGACTGAATGACTAGAAGCCCTTTGTTTGTGGAGTAGAAGTTGCACTCACTTCCTATGGAAATCTGTTTCAGTGGAAAACGCCGCAGATGAAACAGTACTACACATTCCATCCTCGATTAATTCGTGGCGACGGTACGAGTACGGATGAGGTCCGCCCGTCCGTTCCCGATATGGAGAACAGGTTAGAATTGAACAGCTTTATATTGTACTCAATGCAAACGTGGTCGAATTGTAAATGCCCACTATTTTCGACGGCCAAAGTTTACCTTTTTGGCCTAGAATTTCATGAGACTCATGAGTCCTGAAAACCGTCCAGAATTAGTGACGTATTGGCTGATATTGATCTATTGTCCATTGAGAATAAAAGAAAAAACTTTAGTTATTTGCTTCGACATCGGCAGTCTGATTGGACAGGGCATTCTGAGTGGGCAGGACCGGCAGATGCCCGGATGAGGGCCGAACCCTATGGATGGCAGTCAGCTCGAGGCGGAAGCGCCGAGGACCGACTACCTGCTAGGCATAGGTATCGGATTGCTGATTCTGACAGTTCGCGGTTACCTCTTAATTTCGCTAATACTGAAGTAAGAAGTCGAAGGCATCACATTCCAAATTGTTTTACTCCATCTTCCACTTTATTTCTTGAATTCTAATGTTTAGTTGTGAACATCACGGATGTGATTCCATGTAGTTGTATGATTATTGTTCGCTCTAGACTGGTCCCACCGCGATTAGCACGAGTGAAGAGCGAGAGTGGTTTCGGTACTAGGAGTGAACCAGATTTGCGACCACCGACTCTTGAGGATGATTGTCGATGGTAACCATTTAAAGCGCGGACGTTTTTTTTTAGCGCAATATGATTTATAAGTCTTCATTGGAATAGTGAGCGTTCTCAATGACTTGGATGTGGTTATGTCAGCGTTTAACAGTACTTGTGGAAATAAGTGTGATCTGTTGAGGTTCGTGGCCCTATTCGATTACTCGCATCACATGTCACCAAATGCGAATGCTGAAGCCGACGAACTATCTTTTAGAAAGCATCAGCTCATCAAGGTCGGTTCTCATTAGTGGTTTGAGGACTCTAAACAATATTAATGCCTTATACAAGTTAATGGCGGAGGGGGAAATACTAGAAATCTGACCAACTTGAGTTGTAGGTCTACGGTGAAGTGGATGCTGATGGATTTTACCATGGGCAGATTGGAAATCGCGTTGGTCTGGTACCATCAAATATGGTGATAGAGATCGCAAAGGACGATCTTCTGCCAAGAAGGACTCGGACGGAGGCAATGCTAGCAGAACCGACACTCCGAAGAATGCGATGGGGCTCTTTGAAATCGCGTAGCTACGACCATGCGGGTGACCGAAGAATTCACGACAGGCCACCCACGTCTTCCCATTTCGCTTCTCTGGACCGGAGGGAAATGGAGAGAAGGGAGGCATCGGCTACAAGAGGTGATCGTTACCGCAGAAGCAACGGACGCGACTATGAGCTTCGCAGGGACTATGACGACCGATATCGGGAAGTCAGGGATCCATGGGAAGCACGAGAACCAAGAGATCACCGAGAAATGGTACGAGATATTCGAGAGCAGCGGGGAATGCGGGAAGACTATCACAGAGAGTATCGAGACGAACCCGAGTACCGATCCGACAAATACCGCGAGCGAGGCTACGAACGCGAGCGTGAATACGAACGGAGAGACGATCGACGAGATGAGAGGCGAGATGACCGAAGAGAGGAGCGGAGAGAAGAACGGCGAGAATATGAGCGTCGACACGAATACCCAAGAGAAGAACAATTCCGGCGTGACCGACGTGACGATAGTTATAGGGATGACCGACATTATGAGTATTACCCGCCACGATATGATCCTAGTTCAGTAGGACCGTCTGCTAGTGGACAGGCTGTGCCTTTGGAACAACAAATGCAGCCGGTCTCGTCTGCACACGCACCTCAGATATCACAAGTAGCTCATCAACTAGGTCAAATGCAAATGGCAGCCTCGGCAATGCAACCTACCTCGTCTCAGCAGCCACTTTATGCCATGCCTGGACGTCAAGCTGGAGTGCAAGGCGGCATGCCTGCTGAAACGGAGTAAGTGCTGCTCGTTTTATTGTCGAACTCTTCTACTAAGCTAATTGTTTTTTAAACTCTACATTACTCATCGTGCGAATATGATCTTTTTTATCTAAAACGAGTGGGTGGATTCCATTTGTCATTCATGTGAATGGTGTGAATGAGTCAACTGACGGTGTTTGGCAATACTAGTTGACTATCAGATAAAAGTTCTGTTTGCATGTTGTATTAACTAATGTTGTGCTACAGTATAAACGGAGTGCATACGAGGAAAATGGTCGCCAAGTTCGACTATGATTCTCGTCAGCTCAGTCCAAACGTCGACGCCGAGCAGGTCAGCTCGAACAAGGAACACATTGCGTGGAACTCCATTCTTCTTTTACGTCTGTTGACTTACATTTTATTGCAGGTCGAGTTATCATTCCGACAAGGTGATATCATAACGGTTTATGGTGAAATGGATGATGATGGCTTCTACATGGGTGAACTCAACGGCTTACGTGGTCTCGTTCCTTCAAATTTCTTACAGGTGGTCGTGAGATTTTTTGTTGTGTGCAGTTTCGCTACGATAAGAGTCACAGATGGTAGTTCATGGTTTGTCTAAGTGTGTTGTCTTTGAAATGAACTTAGAAGGAACTCCTTCTATTTATGACGACTATTGCTAACTGAAACCATTGAAATCTATAGTTCTCTGCCAGCAATGTATACTCTCTTTTATTCTACGATGATAAGATTCCGACTTTATACTCTCTTTTATTCTACGATGATAAGATTCCGACTTTCTAAGCTCAAAAATCCGCCATCGGTGTGGGCGGTTGCCGCACTCTCGTTAAGAGTCCAAAGATTTTTCATTGTTTTAGCAATCTCTTCAAATCCTGCAATTTAGAGAAGTTTAAGACGAAATTTTTTAAGATTTTACAATACTTGTGTCAGATTTATCCCTAAGCCCTATGTGCTCAACTTATCGAGAATTTATCAGTAGTTTTCGTGAAACCAGTACGGCCGTTAATGAGGTAGAAAAGATGGACGGTACAAAAGGCATTTTTAAAGGTGGAATTTACTAGTATTCAATTTTCTTTATGAAAAACGAAGCTATTCGAAAAGAAGTGCGATGCAAAGCTGTTAAACTTTTTGGTGAGAATAAAAGGTGGAAGGATCTGTATTTCCCCCAGCTACACCCACGTAACGCGATATTTTCCACTTCGGGTTCATTTATCTGATAGAGCGACAATACTTTATTTTTGATTCCATTTTTCGAGGTTTATCTTGAGTTGTAACCTTGTTTCCAGTCGTCACCACTCACCACTCTCGCTCCTTCCCAACCGACAGAGCCGTTGCGAAAAGGTGTCGTCTTCTCAGACGCGCAGGCAATGGCGGCCAAGAAGACTATGCCTGCTCGACAGGTTTCTTTTCGTCTTCTGGCATTCTTCGTCATCTTTTGTAACTTGCATATTCACAGCTATAATAGCAAAACCCTAACGCCGTCATTAGAGCAGGTTTTATATTTTTTGGAAGAGGTTAAATTGTTCAGTAAAATTAACATTGGTCTGGGTTTCATGGTCTGAAACATGCTCAGATATATGCAGCTCTCTTTTACAATTTAGCTAAAATACCCGTTTCCATTATCATGAACTGTGGAGAACGCGTTTTGGTTTTAAAACGGAAAACATTCTTTGCAGACTTCTCAGACTTCGTCTATAGTTTCAACTGCTACGAAACCAGCAACGAAAAAGTCTGCAGTAGCGGCTCCGGGAAAAACACTGGCCAAGAAGGCCAGTGACGTCGGCAAGTCGACTTCAGTGAGTGTGCGGAAGACGAGCACCGTGAAGAAAGGAGACACGTCTGTTAAGGTCGGTACACAACCTACAAATCGTGGGAAAGCTGACTTAGGAAAATGGTAGAGCAGTTTACACTATTTGAAATTGGTAGTTGGGAATCCTACGCTTGTGGCTCGTATATTCTATTTTCGTCTTTTTTAAATTAGATTTACTGCTATAAAACAATGGCTGGTTACTGCTAGTTGGAGTCTGTAAGAAAATTCTCATACTCTAAAGTACAGTGGTTTTTCTCACGAAGGAAATTTTTAGCAAATACAGTATCTTTGTTATCGGAATATTTAAATATTTCTTGATGTTTTAAATTGGCCTACCTTCAGTTGATTTTCAGAAGAAGTGACTGGCTCCGATGCCCACGTGTTCTCATCAGCCAAATGAACGATCTGAGCGCTCAGCATTTCTAAATTTTATTTTGTGATTTTTTTCACCCGTGTGATTTCATTCTTACTTCCTGTTCTTCACTGCGCCATATATGTTACGACATTGTTTATGTACCGAAGAGTATTTAATAAAGATTTATGGAATTGAGCTCGGCTATCTCAGGATTCCAGGGGGAATTGAGTTGAACAGGGGCGGATAGCATAGTGGTAGTGGTGTCTGTTATCATGAACATGGTGCTAGTTCGATTCTGCTCTTGGCCAACCAAGCCCCTCATCCCTCCGGGGGCGTGAAATTGGCACCGAACTTGTCTGCGAAGAAATCACTCTCTGCAATCCAATTGCAAACGCTCCAGCTCGGTCATCTCAGGACTCTAGGAAGAATTGCTCGAACAGCAATTTTTCTCGAATTCAAGATGAAATGGGAATCCTTAAGCAGCATTCGAAGCTACGTAAAAGTTGGAAGATCTTCGTGGACAGTGGACGCGCAGAAACGAATCGAATGTGAAAAGTGCTGGGATTTGCAAAGTAGACGTGAAGACGAGTCAAATGAAATGAAAAAAAATTAAATTGAACGCATGTTTTCTTTTCCAGACCTTAACTATTGTAAACACCTTGTCATTCATTTAGTTGTCTTTGAACCAAGTCAGATTCAGACAGTTCAATAGAGGGAAACATAGAGTATTGTAACAGGAACTTACCGGTAATTGCATATCTTTGACGAAATTTGCTGAATGGAGGAATATATAAGGGATGGCAAGAAAGTACCAGTCATATATATCAAGATATTACTTAATAGCTGGATACACAAAAGGTTCCCGTACCCAATGAAGTGGGCTCTAACACAACATCCCTTAATACTTTGCTCGTTGGGCAATGTTCTTTTCGTCCGCTCAGTTAAGTGTGCCAAGAAGTAATCTCAAGTCGTCAGCGCTTATTAACAGTCCATCGTATATCGGGAAGAGGTTTTCTATCGTGCGACTGACGTTCCCTCTTTCAGAACGTTAGGCAATTTCTGGTTACTCTGACCTAGTCCTAAAATACCGAGTTCCTTTTCAGCCCGTGTCCATGACTGGGGTGGTTCTCATACTGCATAAGGAGTTCGACGTGCAGAAATATCCGATTTTCCAGACTTATATCAAAAACCGACTTTCACCGACTTTCCATCAACCTTGGTATGACAAATCAACATGGGTTTGAATTGTTGAGCTTGCACAGGGTTGATAATAAGGTTTCACCTCTGATGAAGGTGAAGACGTGGAAACATCAACCGAATTAGTGTTATTATTAAACTCGTGTAGCTCAACAAATTAAGCGCATATCTAGAGTTGGTAAGGACGCGTGCAACGCAGTGGTCGGAGGCGTCCTGCAACACACATGGGATCGATCCTCTTGCCTCTGGTCCTCTAAACCTTTCACCCCTCCAGGGTTGGCAAATTGGTACCAGACTTGTTTGGGAAGATAGCAGCACTGGCTTGATACATCGCTAGGCTACAGCGAGTCATTGTAAAGGCCAGATATGCAACCGTTCACCTTCAAACGACGCTTAATGAAGTTGAATGCATGGGGCTCCAGCTTGATCCCTTTATTTTTTCATCTAGAATTTGTATCAAACTGTTAACCTTCGTTTCAAAATATTGCCACAGAAACAACACAAAATTTCATGTCGTGCATCCTGCTTAGCCTATGCCAAGCTATCCTTTGAAACGAAGCTTTATCTGAACCGTTGAAAGAGAGATTAGAGAGGCAAGCACTGTTTCTCTTGGCCTCAGCCGTTGTGCTTGCTGTTGAAAAGTGTTAAATCTACTACAACATTCAATTTCGTTTCTCGCCATGGGATAGATAGTGGAAATCCTTGGCTAGCGAGCAGTGGTCATACGTTAAACTTCCGGGTGATTGCTGCAAGTGAGAAGAACGACGACATGCTCCACGTTTCCCATATCCTTGTTTATTGAACGAATTTGAAGGAAGTCGGAGCTGCGGTTGGCATTATGACATCGCCATATCAGAGCAGCACTGTTTCAAATTAAGTGCTCACAGCTATGCCCTGAGTGAGACTTCAGAATTCGAAGTATACATCGAAATGGATCGAGTAGAGGATGGTAGCGCACGAATGAACATACTTCTTCCGGCGATGCACAACGGTTCATTTTATTACTTTATTTAACATAACCCCAGTTCACATATATCACACTGTGCGGATCCCAACGCTTCTTACATTTGATTTGTTTCCTTGCATCTACGACCCACAAAGGGTATGCAATTTTTCTTGCGTGTGGCTTCTGCTGCTGATTAAGGATTTTTTTCCTTTTCTACGCATGTCGTTGCCGTTCTTGCTGGATTTCCTCAGATAGTCGTACTAGGGCGTTCCTGCGTGTACTAGAGGTAATGAGCTTGTCCAAAACAGCCCTGGTACCAAATTCTCGAGCCTAGAGGGATGAGAGACTTCATAGACACAAGGGAAAGTCGAACCATTGCCCTGGTCTACTGGTCCCTTCACGGAATGGATGAGATGATTAGCACAATACTACCCATTTTCCTGAAAGGTCCATTAGTTACAATAAAACGATAATTATCATTTCCATCAAGATTGAACGAAATAAGTTTGTAGATACATTAATCTTTCTATAATCAAAAAATGAATGAGAATTCGTATTCTCGAAACTATACGTGGTTAAAAGGAGCAACTTTTATTTCGACTCGAAAAAACCCGCCTTAAATACATGGTTTTCTACTAATTTAAGTCTATACTATACGATTTCGTTTATACATAAATCCACCGAGTTATTATAGATTAATTTCTCTCTTAAAGGATCTCAAAATAGAGCTACTAATGGAAGAAAATGTTGTAGGATGAATCCTTTGCTGCACAACGCCTTTCGAAGAGCAGAAGCACTTTGACCAGGATGAGGTTGTGACCACTGTGCATTCCTATTCGGAAGCCCACTTATGAGTAAACCTGTGGCAAAAGCCAATGCCGTCATTGTAGCAGACCACCAGCCCCTTCGTATCCACGAGCACCAAAGACTGCGTGTGACGGAGATGTCGAGAGAGCTCAAGGATGGGTATATCGCGACGCCAAAAATCGTCCAACTCGCTAATTACTAGTCAAGTGGAAATCGTGAAGAGCTTGCACGATTATTGGTGAAGATGGGGCACTCAAATTTTCAAGCAAGTGCTTCCTTCTGGCTTGGCTAAAGCCGTTTTTCACCATCGCGTCCGTCGTATTAATTTTTTAAATCCTTAAGGAAAAGAACTCGATTCTCATCGACGAACTCGTTTTTATTTCCACTTTGTATTCTATCCTTGCTTTTTCATCTAATGCACGTTCGTCGACCTCCCACAGAGCATTTTCGTTTGAGGGAAGAGTAATAGGTCTATGGTGATGTCGTATGGCCTCACGACATCGGCAAGAACTATATTTCTATATTGTTTTCTTTCTTTCTCATTCCATTTCTCTCATGTCTGCCAACTTCACGCAGCGCACTTTTGTTTGACGGAGGCTCGATGCGTCTAAGATGATGCCGAATGGCCTTACGACATCAGCGATCGGTAATGAAAACGACATGGCCATTAAGGAACAATGGCAAGGTCGGAGGCAATGCTAATGCACTAGTGAATTCCAGCAGTACACAAAACGTGCAAAGTTCAGTCTTTTGCATCGGAGGCTTTTGTTCACATCCCTTAAAATCTGCTTCATTCTAAGCCTTTATTCGCTAAAATGGGTGCCACTCTATGGTTCATTTTATTTTATATGACCCGACAATACATATTACGGACACCAGTAGTTCATGCAAGCGATTCAATTCCTCGCATCCATGATTCACAAAGCTGCTTGATTTTTTCCCTACGGGTTTAGCTATTGCGTGACAGTTTTTGATCTGTTCCATAACATGAATGTCGTTGAGCACCGGTTGAATCGAGTCTGTTTTGAATCCTGAGATAACCATTCCAGGGCTTCCAGAAAGTGCCCAGCCGATTCCAGATGAGTTTGATATCGAGTACTCCGTAGAGGAGAAGGGGGAGGGGGATGGCTGGCCTTCTGGACGGTCGAGCAAAGCACCTACCAAATGATATCAGCACCTTGGATTACTCGTTCTATTCCACAAGATGAATGCAAAAAAGGCAGGCGAAGGGTAATTTTAAGATAAGGCAGCAGAACAGAAAGAAATGCTTAGAAAAGCCTTATATGCACTTCTTCACCTGATCAAAGCAAAAGGGATATGCACTTAATGGCAGAGGCATGAATTTTGGAAAGTTCATTATTATTTTTTCAAAGAGACCATAGAGAGACAGATTTTGTCCAGCCGTAATCTACCACAGAGATGTCGGCCAATGCTAGAGCATGTTTAAGAAAAGGAGAAAGAAGAAAGAAAGCAGATGAAGGGCACAAAAACTGAAGTGCTTATAGACCAGGGTCTGTGGAAACTGAGATACATAGAAACAATGTTAAGCTTTGGATGTTGAAAACTAATTAGGTACAAGATCTGATACGTTGTGGACAGTGGGCAAAACGCTGATGAGCTGTGGAGATGTATTAGATACGAAAGGTTTCGCTTACGGAATTCTATTCTCGAATCGAGTAGTCATCGAGCACTTCCGGTCTTTACAATTCCTATCCAATCACTACAGGGTCAAGAGATCCTGGCGTCCTCTATTCTCGTTGTGAAAACTCGCACGTGCCACTGG